AACGCCTGACTCTCATCCCTAAACAGAACTTCATAAAGAACCCTCCTACAACTTCACCAAATTGACTGACTGACCTGCATTCTATGAATCTCTGCTTTCATTGACTTAATCTCTCCTTGACCGTACTCCATGTCAACAGCGTTCTTCGCTTCACGGGCCAGTTGCGTCTTTTTCTCCCACAACATGATTTGACGTCTGAGTAAAGGGTAAGAGTAAATTAAATTTACTGAGAAAAAAGTTGACAATCAAAGCCAGACAAAAGGAAAGCAAGAGATATAAACACATTTTTTTAACGATATAACGGGAGCAAACAACGCTTGATGCCTAACTTTTGATAATTCATCGCGTTCCTCCTAGTTTTATCATCCCCGCCAGTCAAACAGCAACGTAGCGTGACATTTTCTACGCAACACTGCTCTTCCCTAGATGTTGCGTGACCACACAAGGCATAACGCCGACACGCAAAAAAAACTAACACAATAATGTTTACTTACTCCGCCTCCACCAAACTATTGAGCAGCCTTTCTTTCTCCTCCTTCAGCGCATCAATTTGATTTTGCATGTTGATGGATTCCCCTTCGGCTTCCTGTAACGTAAACATTGAGTCAAATGCGCTTCGTATATATCCACAACAGAGCAATTCATCAGTTAGGTTTTTAAGTGTAACGCCGAGCAATACAGGTAATTGCGCATGCCCAAGCTGTACCATTTAAGGGCTGTTAATCAAGAAAATAATAAATAAAAGGGCTCGATCATCAGGGCTGGATAAAAATCCTACGTGAACTATACTCAGAGTACGGCGATAAATCCGTTTGCTATGTAACAAGCATAAAGACACGTTCGAGTTTTACAAACATGTCCCTCTGGTAAGGGATGTGGACGGATCACATTCATTACTAGTGTACCTGACTGAGTTTTAATATGTTCACTTATACTCGTCCTACAATAGGTGTATAAAATTGCTCTCTGATCGAGACCGAGAAAATTCTTTATTTTATACTAAAGTAGTGAATAATCCTATTGGTCGTTGCTAAGTGAGAATCGAAGGAAGTCATTTAATGTCACATCGATCTTTGGATCAATGTAAGTCTCTATACTAAGGAACGCTCAACTTTCGTAAGTAATAACACAGTTTCTGACACGAAGTTGTATACTTTTGGCTGCAATGAACGCGAAGGCTTACGCGCAGGTCGTTTCGATATTAAGTCGTATAAATACAAACTGAAGTCGATTCGATACACCTCCTGGCAAGGTATGTTAAACTCCCCTTATCAGGCTGGTAGAGAGTTGAAAACATCAAAATTTATCCTTCACTTGCTTGTATCGAAATGACTAAAGTTGTATCGTAAAAGTAAAGGAACTTTTTCCACGCAAAACTCCCACGCACGCACCTTTTAAGCACCCGCGTGGGAGTCTCTGCGGCCACACCGGCTTATCATAATTGGAATAGTGAGTTACCTTAAGCGCCTGAATAAAGTCGCTCTCCATCAACACAGTTCCTTGCTGTAAGGCCTCTCTCAGACCACTTTCCTGGGTGATCAGAGTATTTAGCTTCGTCATGTCATTCTGCATGCCGCGAATGTTTCGCTCAATATCTCGCATCTCGCTATTGTGTGAGTTGATTTCGCCTAAGAAGAAATTATATTCAGAAAAATGTAAACTCAGTTAAGTAAATCGATTCCGACAAATCCTGTTCAGGGAAATCATCAGGTGATTTTCACACCAGTGAAAGGTTCCCCCTCAAAGGGTCAATTTTCGGCAAGTTGAAACTGAGTGATTCGATTCCCATCCCGATGCGGCGCAAAGAGATTAATTCGCATTTCTCTCAGCCGAAAGTGATCTTCATCAAAGTAAAATGAGTGAGAGACTTGAAAAGCAATGAGATAAATATTCTGCAGTTCAAGCCGAAGACTGGTCAACAAAACATGAAGATAATGACAGCTAGTTTGAAGAAGATTGATTCCTCAATGGATGTAAAAGATCTCACTTAATCAACTTGTAAACGGCGGATCTTCTCGGAGTTTATCGGAAAATTGTTGTTCAGCAAGCTTCAATTCACTAAGTAGCCATTTGCTAATTCACGATCATTAAGACTCAATAAATTTGTCGTTTTTAGGTCAAAGGCAAAAGACTGTTAACAGAGAAACAAAGAGGAGTAAAGGAGAGTCATTAAACGCGACAAGTCCTTTGATCCGCATCGTCTGTAACTTCTCTACTTACCTTCGATCCTGAGTTTCTTTTGCAGTAATATGGTGTACTGTTTCTTAAAGTACTCCATGTCTTCAGATTGTTTCTGTACATCCTTTAAGGTCTTCACCAATTCACTTTGATTTCTCAGCCAAAACTGCTGTAGTTCAGTAATTTCATTGAGGCGGGCTTCGATCTGCTTTTGTAACGTGTGGATCTGTAACTCCAAAGGTCCTATTTCCTCTCCCTAACAATGACAAAAAAAACTTTCCTCATTAGAGCGTATTTTGATTGAGTGCAGTGGCGACGAAACCAAAGTAATTGCAGTGCCCAGTCGGAACAAAGGAAAATATCTCAACCAGCCAAAGAGAAACGAAAGTCAATACATCCTAAAGACTTCAAGGCGGAAAACCATTGAGTTGCGAGTGGTTTTAGTTTTGCATCTGATTCGTTAAAAGGGTGATGTAGTTCAGTTTCTAAACCAGTCAGAACGCAGCAACGCACATCTCACAAAATCCCGAATTCTGGTGCGCATTTCGATTGAGCATCGTCAAACCCAAATCAAATTAATCACAAGACAATCAGCACAAAAGAAAATATCTGTAAGAGCTAATGGGATCTTACGTAAAAACTAAAGCGCGGGAAAACGTTAGTCAACACTTCAAATTGAAACTAATTTTAGTTTAGCGTCCTATATTTTTTTTTTAGAAATTTATGTCTTTTTCTTTCAATCAAAAAGCAGAAAAATAGTCCTGAGAAAGACTGTTGTCGGTAGTACTGGGTAACTGACTTTTCGACAACCAAAGCGGAAGTCATCATCAAAGTCAAGTGAAGAGTTATCAGTCCGGTTCGTGTAAACTGACCGGTCAAAGAAGAAAGCAATAAACGAAAGCAAACTAGACTACTTTTCCATGTTCAATTGAAATTTGCAGTATAATAATTGTGAACCGTCTGCAACAACTAAAATTCCATTGACGTACCCCGTCTTTGCTTCTCAACTGATCAATCTTTTTGTTAAACTGGTCAATAGTGCTCTGTTTCCGTTCAATAATAGCGTTTCGCTTCACAATTTCTCCTTCGATCTTAGAAATGGTGCCATTCTTCTGGTGAATCTCTTCATTCAGGTTGTCCATGACATCTTGAAGTTGACGAACACGAGTGGTCGTGTTAGAAATGTCCAAGATATCCCTGGAAATCTCGTTCTCAACTTCAGCAACGGAACTTTCCTGTAAGGAAGAACAACATAACGTAAATAACTGTTCAATAGTAAACTCGTTCCTCCCACATCTGAAGTAGTTTTGTATCACTTTGGGTCTGAAAGGATTTCAATTCCTCTTGCTTAACTTTTCCAGGTTATAAAGTACCGCTCAGATATGCGTTGACTGCGCATACGTATTTTGTACGCACAGATGCAGGTCGTCAGACGCGTATATACGCTATACAGGTGTGTATGTACGCTATAAATACGCGACTAAGATGACTTTGTTGATCAATCCCACAAGTTTCATTTCTGTTACATTACTGTGTAAAAAAAGAACTTTTGGGTCTGAAAAAAGTCAAGTCGACAACCGAAATTTACATTTTTAATAAAGCCAACATGTTATGTACATGTATAGCTACCTTTCAGTCCAGCTTTAAAATTCAATGAGGCGCCATCTTTAGGTTTTACCAAGTAACACTGAAGAGCATCCCTCTTCCGAATTGAAGGTCATTTTGCCCATAGCAAAACATTACGACTCAAAACAATGTGGAACATTTCTATTTAGCTTGATAAATAGGTTAATGACAAGGACAATGGGTATTTTCAGAATTCACCCGTCAATTACGGACTCTGTTCATTCGAGCCTAACTGTATCAGTAGTAAAAATATTGTTACCAGTTCTGTGGCCCTCCTTCTGAGCTTGTCTGTCATCTTCTTAGTGTACTGCGCCGCCTTGTCCAATGTAAGCTGGCTTCTCATCTTTTCCATAATGTTGTCTTCTAGTTTTATCTTCTCCCCAAACTCACGCTCAATCTGTTTTCTTAATGCTGTGATTTCGTTCTCCTTCAGTGTCACTTCCTAATTAGGTCCAAGAGAAATAACCACAGCAGTCAAGCAACATTTTGCCGTACTTACAAAGGGACAGCTATATTAAGCCTATGTCTATTCTTATCTTGAAAGTCATACCGCAAAGCATGTCTGAACCTGTACATCATAAATGAATTCTACAGGCTGAATTCTACACACGCTTTAATTGGTTCTTACTTATGTTGCTGATATCACCATTTAAAACATTTTGCTTTCTTGTCATATTAAACAAATAGATTTCATTTAGCCGTGGGTCTGTCTATACAGTAATGAATTACGGAAGATGTCAAAATGTGACAGGAACATCAGTGACCCACTCAGCTGCACCTTGTGTGCCACTTTTTTCATTCTTACCACATTTTAACCCTTTCACCCCCAAGATCTGATTTTTAATTCTCTCTTATAGCTGCTACACATTTCCTTGTCAATTAGTTATGAGAACTTGGTGCTAGATCAAGATAGCAGCTTCTTTCTGATAAGTCCAAATATTCTCATTATCTGTTTGCTGAATATTGTATGGATATTATGGGGAGAAGTTTCATGTTGATCACTTCTGGGATTTAAAGGGTTAACGTCATCTAAACAGTTGTTGTCAACAGAGGTACAGCAACATTGAATCTATTTGTTCAGCAGTTACTACTTGATTGATTACAACCTCACTTACAGTTTCAGCCCTGTTGAGTTGTTGTTCTGTTTCATGGAGTGTCCTGGAGTATTTACTATATTCAGTCTTAAGGACCTCCTGTTTGTTCCTGCTCACTGCAACCAGTTTCTTCACCATAGAGATGTCAGCTTCAATCTTGTTATGCATGAGTGTGATCTGTTCATTCTGTTCCTGAGCTTTGCTGATGGACTTTCTGTAGCCTTCAATCTCTGTTTCAATTGCCTGGATTCTCTGTCTTTGAAGACTGTTTAAAAAAAAAAAAAGAGAGGCAAATGCAGAGATGTAGTTAGCAAAATGCTACAATCTGTTAGTTTGCTCTATTTTGGGGATAAGGGTTAACTAGCAATAGAGATAAAGCTGTTTGTGAAATGCGATTTAACCCTATGGCATTTATGAGTGATCTGCATCTAATTTCTCTCATCACTCCTGAAACAAACATGGCAGCCATGAGCCAGAAATGGCAGGCAGTTCAGATATCCAGTCAATAAGTTGAAGCTTAAATCATAATATCATAAAGAAAGCTGCTAAAAACACTAAGCTGCCTCTGGATTGAGCTTATACCTGTGTCAAAACAGCTAGGAGGCATGCAAAAGAAAACTGCTGTCATTCAGACACTTGGATATCAATCTTAACTTGTTAGCTTAACCAGATCATTTCTTGTCTTATTTACTGATGTCTTCTGAGGAAACACAAGACTAGAATTCTATTTTTGCTTTGTAAATTACCTGCCAAATAGAGTGACAATTATCTCTTTCTTGCTGGTGTTTATAAATAAAAAAAATTTGGAAAAGGACAGAAGGAACTAGTTTGCAATATTGTTTTTCCTTCCTTCTATTCACTGCAACAGTCATTCTCAGTGGCATTACTTAACTAAGAAAGTATAGCTTGAGTATTGTTAGTCATTCACAGCCTATTTAAGGCTGAGCCAATGTGAAGCCATGATAATCAAGGAAAAAAAAGTAATTTCTTAAACAGGAGATGATTCCTTTAATTTCAACAAAAGTGTAGTAAATGTACAAAATTTACCTCAGAGCTTCTTGCATTGCAGCATATGCCTCGTCTCGCCTCCTCATCCCAATTAAACTGCTGTACCACTGCTGTGTTAGCTGCTTTTTTTCCAGCTGAAGAGCCTGTACATAAATATATATATATATATATATATATTTTTAAATCCTTTCACTTCCATGAGAACAGTATCAATGTCAATATAATATCCATTCAATACAATATCAAGTAGAAATGTGGTGAGTATAAAGGAAAATATCCACTCAGGAATTCTTATTTGATTCAATACCAAATTCTCATAACTAACATCGATAGGAATGTATGGTGGACAGTTAGGAGAAATATTAATAAGATATTGGGAGTGAAAGGGTTAAAATGTGCAATACAGTATCACTCAAAAGTAGTCAACAATCTTGACTCAAAACTCAATTATCAATCCTTGAAACTTTTAAGAATAAAGGATCAAGGATTGAGACACTCAGACAACTTTTCAAGGATCTTGATGTGAGTTTCTAGGAAACAATTTTATTCTTGAATGCGAAACAATCGCAAAGGAAGAAGTGTTTGACGCACAGTACCATGACACAAATTGTGATCACTGGTATTTTCCGTAGTCATCACTTGGACTTGTTTTGCTCACATGCTTTCACATGCTTTGTTGTGTGATAAGCTCAAGCAATGGCTAGAAAAGAGTGCAGGTATTTAAGGCAATAATGTAATCTATTGAGAATATTGATGACAATGATGAGACTCTGATGTGAAAGATGCCACCAATAGGGAAATTTTCCATATAGTTTATATTTTGTTCACTAAAGAGTGTGTCTTCAAAATAAATTTTAATTCCTACTAACCTCTATTTCAGTAATAGCCTCTGAGAGAGCTTTTTGAGCTGCTTTAGTTTCCTCCATTTGAGCTGCACATTGGGTCTCAAACATGTCAATTTCCTCCCTCAGCCGATCTACTGTTTGTGTTAATCTGTCCACAAGGAGGTCCTATGTAAATGCCCAAAAGGAAAAATTTAGTGCAGCTGTTAGACAAATAACTTAATAATTAGTGCGTATAAAGGCCTCAGAGCAACATCTATAAGTTTTCTGGCCTGTTAATCAATGTCCACCAATCAGATTCTTTGCTTCCTACACATTGAAAGACGATCTCACTCAACTCTTCACATTTCACATTATGGATGAAATATCTGGTCTCTCTGCTGAGAAAACCACTCCATCACTTTCTTGTCTAGTTCAGAATACTTAGGAGTGAAACAGCCAATATTTGCACGTTTTGCAGACATCTTAAGCTTGCCAGAAAGAATAGTTGCCTGGTCTCTTTTCCAGCATTGCACCATGGACTCACAAAGTCCATAAATCTTGAGTGATTTCCGAGTTGTTTTCCTTCAGCTTCCGCAATAACTTTTATCTTGTATTCTTTTAGCCGTTGTATACGAGGAGCAGTGTGCTTTTGGCGTGACCAGAAAAATAACAGCGATGAAGGAGATACTCAATTGAAGCGTTTGTCAGGTTACAGTCACTGAGTATTGTTGTGTTTCTGCAGTTGCATGGTAGTATTTACATTTTCACTGTTTCCCTTTTTTCCATTTCCCAATGTTTTCCGTGAGGTTCACTCACTCAAATGACCAGTTACAATCAAGAATTTCACTCTTGGCTTATAGCCAATGGTTTTGCTTTTTTTTGGACAACATGAGTCTGTTGGAAGGTCTTTAACTTTTAGGGTTTCGGCTTACAGCCAAGATCGGCTTATAGGTGAAGAAATATGGTAATTGTGAATACATGTGTAAATATAGATACAATTGTATGCTGTATTTTGTATTTGTGAAGTACTGAATAACCCACTCATCAGTAGGGGTCAAAACAAATATATAAGGTTCCAGCATGCATCAGTAGGAATGACTGGTGGGACTAGACTGGAATGGAGTATTCATGGTAACACAGAGAGGGAGCATTCTCTGTAGAACAGTGATGGCTTACTGGTATTGTCTCTACCTATTTATCAGGGAATACCACACCTGTTTTTTCTTCTCTAATTCTGCTTTGGTAACTTCAGTGTCTGCTTTCTCAGCTGCTCTTCTCATGACAGCAATGTCAGCCCTTACATCTTCCTTAGCCTCTTCCATGTAATGCAAGCGAGCTGCCAGATTTTCAACTTCTGTTCTAAGCTCCTTAGCTACAAACAGGAATCAAATATGGTTTTGTTTTCATACAGTATGCTACCTCACAAATTGACTAGCATCTAACTTCTTGCAGAGTCACCATTGAATCAAACAACAAGAGCACAAGAATGAACTTGAAAAAATCTTGCCTTTTTAAGAAACTCTTGATTGTCATACAAATTCAACTGGTCAGAAGTATTGCAAATGTATAGGGAAAAGTATGCAGAACATGCATACTAATGTTAGAATTGAGATTGTTGACAATTTAATACCCCCAGAAGTGATATAAAACATCTCCCTACAATACCCATACATTATCCAGCAAACAAGCTATGAGAATACTCAAACTTTTGTGTATCTAGTAGCAGTTGTTATCTTCATCTAACACCAAATTCTCCTCACTATTTTACAATAAAGTGTATGTCAACAAGAGGGGAGAAACATGAAGTAATTGACTGTAAAACCCATCTTTCCAAACCTTGTTTGCGCTGATGGATGGCATCTTTCACCGTCTTGTCATGAAGCTCTTTAGTTTCCTCAAGAAGCTTTTCACTTTGCTGCCTGAGATGATTTTCTGAGCTGAAATTGTCATGTTCCTTCTCCAAGAGCATTTGCTGCCTGGCAAGTTCCTGTTGTACGCCATATAACTGTACACCAAGTTCTTCTCTCTCTCTCTTCTTTGTTTTGAGATCTTCAGTCTAAACACATTTTCATTAACATGAGCACATTTTCTTCAGGACAAAATTAATTAACTTTTTTACTACAGTTCTTGTACTGGTAAA